TGAATGCAGGGCCTTGTGCTATTGTCGTAGCCCCTTCTGATAAGCTGCCCCGGCACATTGAACTGTTGGGTGACCTGTACGTCGGGCCTTGGGTACTTTCTATTTGAATGGAGGGCCCTGCGCTCTTGACGGGGGCCCCATTTGTTGACATGATGTCGCGCACTCGATCATTCGGGGTCCCTCTACATCATGTCGTGGGTATTTCATATTTGAGCGGAAGGCCCTACGCTCTTGTCGGCGGCCCCATCTGCTAACCTGCTCGGGCACACTCGGTTGTTGAGGGGCCTCCACATTGTGTCTTGGGGACTTTATATTTGAATGGAAGGTCCTACGCTCTTGTCGGGGGCCCGTCTGTTCACCACCTTTGAATTTAGGGCCCTGCACTCCTGTCGGGGGCCGTCTGATAATCTGCTCGGGTACAGTCCATCTTGCGGAGCCCTGTGCACAGGGTTCTGGGTACTTCTTATTTGAATTGAGGGCCCTACGCTCTTTTTGGGAACCTTATCTGTTTCCCTCCTCTGGCACACCCGATCATCCGGGGGCCCTCTACTTTGGGTCTCGGGGACTTCCTATTTGGGTGAAGGTCCCTACGCCCTTACGGGGCCCTTTATGATGGCCTGCTCGGGAGCTGACCTCGCGCTCTTGTTGGGGGCTACATCTTTTACCTGCTCTGGCAGTCTCGATCATTCCAGGGCTATCCATGCTATGCTTTGGTTACTTCTTATTTGAATGGATGGTCCTATGCTCCTGGCGGGCCCCACCTATTAGGCTGCTCAGGTCGGTGACGGATACAGACTGGGAGGGGGAAAGCACGGGACCATGCCCCTCGTGAACCATGCCGAGAGGGCCCAAAGGCTCCAAAGAGGCTCACAGCCGGACGCAGATTTCTAACAAAACAAAACGTTATACACAACGCAGTTGGACGTCTTTTAGTCTACAGACGACCAAGAGCGGATGCTGGCCAAAGTAAACAGTTCATAAGCAGACAAAGTTAATTCTTTGCTGATTGAGGGGGTGCTGCGGGGGATGGGATTTTGGGGTTAATTACGCTGGCCAGGGACATTACGCTGTTGCCCGTACCCTATATGTCCGCGTCCGGGTCAATCTGATTGCTAAGGAGTTTTCACACGTTGCCCTTGATCTCCTTGCGTTTTTTGGTAGGGCCCAGTGCCGCGGCAGGGACGCTGTCTAGCCCAATGCCTGAGCACTCTTGGTCGATCAGATTTTCACAGGTTTTTCCCGGACTCCCGAAAGGCTCTGGGCGTTGACTGGAAATAAATAATGTGAATGTTTTCGTCCTCTCCCTGCCAGCGCGGAAGGGCATCCGTTTCCTCGCGCCGACGGAAAGCGTCAGATCGCAGTTCCGTAAGTTCTTCTCAGTGCAGTGCATATCATCTAGACTACTTGGCCACATCACATATCAAATTAAAAAGGTTCTATGTACAGCAACAGAGACAAAGGTCTCCATAGGGCTGGTATACTTAGCTTCTGCGTGAACAGGTATAAGGATTTCACGTGCTTGAAAAGAGGAAAGAAAGGAATGGAACGGTGTCTCTTCGGGTTACATGAGTGACTCGAACTTAAAACAAAACACGTTTTAAATTATGCGCTTTCGCGTGCGGTACGAATTAAAACCCGTGCCGAACTGGTCGGGGACATTTGTAGCCCCCCCCCCCCCCCCTACCCCCTTAACCGACGCCCAGAGTCGCCGTTTTTATAACGCTGAATGATGGGAGGGAGGTCGATGCGACCCCTGGTGTTTCCGAATTCATGAAGGGATGGAACTTATTGGAAAACATCAGTAGGTTGATTTCTACATATATATTTATATATATAAATAAATAAATCATATATACATATATATATATATATATATATATATATATATATATATATATATATATAGCGGGCGCCACCATGGACGGAGGCCATTCGGTGTGTGTTATCCATCTGGTGACAGCAGTGTGCGCGTACTGCAGCCGCTCACATAGCCCGGCTCAGAGCGGGCGCCGCTCACATAGCCCGGCTCAGAGCGGGCGCCGCTCACATAGCCCGGCTCAGAGCGGGCGCCGCTCACATAGCCCGGCTCAGAGCAGGCGCCGCTCACATAGCCCGGCTTAGAGCGGGCGCCGCTCACATAGCCCGGCTCAGAGCAGGCACCGCTCACATAGCCCGGCTCAGAGCAGGCGCCGCTCACATAGCCCGGCTTAGAGCGGGCGCCTCACGTCGGGCGAGTCCTCGGCGATGATCACCGCGCCCCTTGGAACGCCGACAGTGTGCGTGGGGTGCGTCGTGCTCCGACTGCGAGCTGCGCGTCAGTCGGCCTGGAGTCGCATCACCGCTCGCCCGCGCCAGCTGACGGCCGTGCGTGCCGTGTGTGACTCGGTGCCGCAGCCGAGCTCGGCGGTCTGCGGCCGTCGTGCAGGGGGTGGGGGGGGGGGGGAGGGGCTGACCGCCGTCGCGGCTCGCTGCGCCTGATGGTCCTCCGCAGCGCCTCCTGACCTCAGAAGCCGGCGGGGACAGGTCTCTATAGCTGTTAGCAGTCTCTGGCGGCGCTTCGGAGTTGTTAGCAGTTCGGCGCAGATTGCGATAGTTTTGGACAGCTGCTTGCGGTTCCTGGTGGCTTCCTGGATCGCACAGCTGCTCACAGTTCCTGACAGGTGGACAGAGTTGCTCAGCGCTGCCCGCAGTTTTACTGCTGCTCATCGCTGCTCTCTGGTGCATGGGGTGCTGCTGGATAGGTGTGAAGGCGGGGTGACAGGAACACCTGGATGTATGATATTATCCCCAGATAGATCACAGATGTAGCCGCTCGCATTACACTACACAACAAGGTTCGTAACAAAGACTTCTGTCGACGGTGGGGAGCAGGAGATGTGCGAAGGCACGCCGCTGCGCTCCGATCTGTTTCGTGTTTGCAGCGCCTATCTTTCGAAGCACCGCAGTTTTCCTTCCATGACTTGTTCCCCCAGCATCGGCAGTCGTCTCTCCAGACAGCTGTCCCTCGCCGCATTGGACGAATGCCGTGAGCCTGACGTACGAGTTGAGCGGAAGCCCCACCTCCGATACACACACTCCCTGCAGGATCGCACCGGCGCGCAGGTGCGTGTGGTGTCATAAGTTTCACCTCCGATACACACACTCCTTGGAGGATCACACCGGCGCGCAGGTGCGTCTGGTGTCATGAGCTTCACTTCCGATGCACACATTCCCTGCAGGATCGCAGCGTTGCGCAGGTGCGTCTGGTGTCATAAGTTTCACCTCCGATACACACACTCCCTGCGGGATCGCACCGGCGCGCATGTGCGTCTGGTGTCATAAGCTTCACTTCCGATGCACACATTCCCTGCAGGATCGCACCGGCGCGCAGGTGCGTCTGGTGTCATAAGCCCTCGAAAGGGTCCATTCTCATATTTGCGCACTCAGTGCGCATTGCCTTAGTAGCTGGCTTAATGTCGCAGTAGCAACCCTCACCGATCGGCCCGTGGCACCAGCACCACAGCCAGCCAGCTGCCCCCTGTCGCTGTACCGTTGGCCGCTTCACGCTCGCTGATAGCTCGGTGGAGCCTACAGCCGTGACGACGGCGTCGTCAGCTGGGAGGTCAGCGTGGCAGCCCGCGCGGGGGGCATCCCTGCGTGCCGTCACCGCACACATGCCAGCCCAGGCTGCAGCACGTATTCGGCCGCAGGGTGGCGCCGCGCCACCGCCGTAGCCTCGCGCTGGGCGGCCACTGCGCGGGGGATTGCGGCGGTTTGGCCGCCGACCGGCGCGCCCAGCCTGACACCAGGAGCCTATCTTGGCCCCGCCTGACTGCCGGAGCTCATCTGACCACCCCCCCCCCCCCCCCCCACCCTTCCCGACCACTTCCGACCCTGCTCGATCTTACCCGACCCTGTCTGGCCTTGACGGACCCTGCGTGACCTTGCCTGACCCCGCCTGACCCCGCCCGACCCCGCCCGACCCCGCCTGACTCTGTCTAACCTGCCTGACCCCGTGCCCGTACCGCCACCGGTGTGACTCCCTTCGCCCGGCCCAGCCTGACTGTCTAACCTGCCTGACCCCGTGTCCGTACCGCCACCGGTGTGACTCCCTTCCGCCCGACCCCGCCTGACTCTGTCTAACCTGCCTGACTCCGTGTCCGTACCGCCACCGGTGTGACTCCGTTACGGACGACTCCGCTCACCGAAGCACGTGCTGCCGAATACTCCCTGACCGGGCGACGGCTGACCAGACTCGTGCCAGGTGGCCCAGCGTGAACCAGCACCGATGGGCAGCGGGGGGGGGAGGAAGGGGGGGGGGGGCGTTTCAGATGAGCTTATGATGAGCGGCGTTTCCAAAGCTCGTGAATGTTTCGCTCGGGGCTGTTATGTCGTCGTGGGACAAGTTGCAGCAGCTCGTGACTGCATGCAGCTCTTCATATGAGGCAAGCTAGGCACAAATTGCTTGTTGATAATGGTTGTAGTGGCTAATACCCTGCAGCCCTTGACCTTATTGCGCTCCTCTAACGAAAAGCGCCGATCACGGAGACTACGTCGAGTGCCATCTTACGCCCACCTGAAGTTAGCAACTATTTTCGATGGCACGTGTTCCAGGACGTGCTAGTCCCCCACACTGGGGACAGCACATCGTGTCGCTCCACCCCTAGCCGCAGCAGCTGAAGGTGCCACTATCCAGGCGATCCGGGGTGGTAGGTGATGCGTCTGGTCCGTGCGCCCCCAGCCGCGGCAGCTGAAGGGGCCTCTCCTCAGGTCCGGGGTCGGAGGTGACCGCCTGGTTCGTGTGCCCCCAGCCGCGGCACCTGAGGGTGCCTCTCCTCAGGCCCGGGGTCGGAGGTGACCGCCTGGTCCGTGTGCCCCCAGCCGCGGCACCTGAAGGTGCCTCTTCTCAGGCCCGGGGTCGGAGGTGACCGCCTGGTTCGTGTGCCCCTAGCCGCGGCACCTGAAGGTGCCTCTCCTCAGGTCCGGGGTCGGAGGTGACCGCCTGGTCCGTGTGCCCCCAGCCGCGGCAGCTGAAGGTCCTTCTTCAGGACGTGCTGGACCACATCGGTCCGGACAGACAGTTCGAGCAGCACTACCCGCAGCTGGAGGCGCTGCTCACCAAGGCAATCGGCGACGGATCGCAGCTGCACCATCTGGTGCACATGGTGAGTGGTGCCCTCTGGAGCCGCGCGTGCTGGTGACGAGGCGGCGGATGTTCCCCGGGCGGGCTGCCCGCAGGCAGGCCCTTATATTCAAGGTGGCGTCGGGCCTGTGGTACATGCTGTCTAAAAGATGAACAGATGTACAGGAGTGCGCGAAACCGAAATGCAGGTCGTATTGGCAGACTTGACAAGTTAAAGTCGCTGATTTGGACACGTTCTGCATGACTGTGGCCTCACGGAATGCTTTCTGAACTGTTTATAAACCGCTAATCACCGGTCGCTACACGGTGTAGTAGTATTTTCAGAACCCGGGAGACAGGTACCACAGCGATCTGGCATGATTTTATGCAACCCGTTTTGTTGACGTATTTGTTATTTGCTGCCTGTTCTTCTGCGCTCTGTGTTGTGCCAAAAGCAATCCAGTGTGTGATAAGCACGTAGTTAGGCAGCTGAGTATCTCCCTGACCCCTGCCCTCCCCCTCCTTCTCCCGCCCTGCCCCACGGGCCGTGCGCGGCTGCGGCGGCGTCAGTCGGCGCCTCGCCGGTGTGGATCACGCCGGCGGCGGGCGGCTCCTCTCGTTGCCGCAGACCAGCTTCTCCACGCTGCTGGAGCTGCTGCAGCAGGACGAGGTGCGGCAGCGGGTCAGTCGTCGGCTGCTGCAGCTGCTGACGAGCTGCCAGCAAGAGCTGACGACCGAGCCGGCCCTGGTGGAGCTGGGCATGGCCTGCTGCCAGACCCTCCATGACTCTGTCACGTGAGGAATGCATGGATCTGCCACGCCAGCAGTGCGACAGCGGCTGTCTCGTGAGCTGTTATGACTCCCATCCGAGGGATACACGACTCTGTCATTTAGGACATTCGCTACCCACGACAATACATTCACGACTCGCTACAATACATTCACAACCCACATTATATTCCGATTTACAACAATACATTTACGACCCACGATAATACATTCACGACTCATGACAATGCAGTGCGTCTTGCGTGCCAGGTACACGACTGTCACGTTAGAGATACACGACTTTGTCACCGAGGCTCGGCCGCTTGAAAACTGCGCGGTTCCTCAACATGAGCAAGGCAAAACTCGGCCTCCTGAGGGGCACGCGGCTCTGGCACGTGAGGTCTGCGCGGCGCTGCCATGGGGGGGGGGAGGGGGGTACGAGCCCGCTACACCAGCGGTGCACGGCGGTGTGGGCGTCCCGGTGATGGCAGTGTCTGTGCCCTACCCGCCGCCAACCCCAGCGGGCGCGTCCCAGCAAACCTGTGCTCTACCCGCCGCCAACCCCAGCGGGCGCGTCCCAGCAAACCTGTGCTCCACCAGCCGCCAACCCCAGCGGGCGCGTCCCAGCGTCGTCGCCATCACGCTGCACAGCAAGCTTCAGCTTCTAGCCTGGAACTTTTCGGAGGCTTTGACTAGGGTTGCACTGCCGCTGACCATCGGTGACCGTAGCGTCACACACGGTGGTCATAAGCCGGCCGTTGGCCATCGGTAACCGTAGCGCTACACACGGTGGTCATGAGCCGGCCGTTGACCATTGGTGACCGTAGCGTCACACACGGTGGTCATAAGCCGGCCGTTGGCCATCGGTAACCGTAGCGCTACACACGGTGGTCATGAGCCGGCCGTTGACCATTGGTAACCGTAGCGCTACACACGGTGGTCATGAGCCGGCCGTTGACGATCGGTAACCGTAGCGTCACACACGGTGGTCATGAGCCGGCCGTTGACCATCGGTAACCGTAGCGTCACACACGGTGGTCATGAGCCGGCCGTTGAGCATCGGTAACCGTAGCGCTACACACGGTGGTCATGAGCCGGCCGTTGACGATCGGTAACCGTAGCGTCACACACGGTGGTCATGAGCCGGCCGTTGACCATCGGTAACCGTAGCGCTACACACGGTGGTCATGAGCCGGCCGTTGACCATCGGTAACCGTAGCGTCACACACGGTGGTCATGAGCGGGCCGTTGACCATCGGTAACCGTAGCGTCACACACGGTGGTCATGAGCCGGCCGTTGACCATCGGTGACCGTAGCGTTACACACAGTGGTCATGAGCCGGCCGTTGTCGCGTCGCCAGGATGCTGTCCCTGGACGACGAGCGGCGGGAGACGAGCGCACTGATCTGCCAGTTCCTGCAGCGGGCCGTGGACCTGACGCCCTCGCAGCTGGAGAGCTCGCTGGACCTGCTGGTGCAGGTGCGTGCGGTATGGTATAGGCCCGCGCTGTGAGCTGAAGGCTCTGACTGGAGCGTCACGCGGCCGTGGTGAAACGTGATGCACAGGCTTCAGCTTGGACTGTGCATTTGTGATTCCTTGTTTGATCGTTTTGTCCCAAATGGGATGTGCGCGTGGCTTTAGGTTCAGAAAACGAGCCAAGGAGGGTTTCCTCGCGTGTAGCGGGGTTCCAGGTGAACGGACCACTCTGCCTCTGGCCCACGTTTGCGAGCCGGGACTGCGGGATGATCTAGCTCGCGGCGCACGGTGTGGTGAGGTGGCCGGCCCGTGCCGTGTCCTCCCCTCCCTGGCCAGAGGCAGGCTGGTCTGTGCGTGCCGGTGGGGCCGAGCCTTGCACCCGCTCTGGGATTGGTGCCTCGTGATGGCACATTCGGCCGACGTGCTTCCTCGGCCGCGTGAGGAGCTGGAAACGTTGTTTATGACGGAATGAACGTCTCGCGGCTTTCCCCTCTGTAGCTCACAAATGCCATAATCTTGTCAAAATTGGCCACTGGAGCGCAAATAACTATTGCGGGGGATACGCACTTTAAGCCCAATACCTACCTAACCTCGTCGCAACTGTCCACTGTGTGTGGCGGAGCTCCAGCGGTCGCCGTCCGTAGCCCACCAGGCCGCTTGCCCGAAGCCCTTCCGGGAGTTGCTAACGAGCGGCAGCTGCAGAGTTGTCCACGCACTTTGATCCGCTGGGTGATAATCGAGTCAGATCAGGTCAGATCGGAAGACTTGTGACTTCGACGCGTTATCAGATTACGCACTACGAGAGGACGTGCACGCGATATGCATGTTCAATCTTCATTCAAATTGAACATTATTTCGTCACATTTGAGCATTTGAGCTCAAATATGGCGTATTTTGCTCAGGAGTTTACGTGTCAGCATCCCAATCAGCGTTGTTGCGATGAAAATAATTGTTTTCACGAGTTCGTCAGCTTGTGCTGGTTCGTCACGTTTCACGGGTTCGTCAGTTCGTCAGCAAAACAGCTGCAACTATGATGTAACGTGCTGGACGAGTTCACACCTAATCCACATCTTTTGCGCAGTCTATGCTGTCCGGTGTCTTCGTCCAACGCAACGACCTGGGCCTTCCGTTGACAACTCACACATGTATCCATACATGCCTCACTATTCCATGCCTATAACATCTACAACCATGCCACCCGTTCCTCGTGCGACGCTGTTGCTGCCGTACCCTTCACAGCCCACCGTTTCGTCCCTGACCGACCCCATCCCGTCGTCCGGCAGGCGCGCGGCGGTTTCTGCAACCTGGAGTCGGTGACGACGCACCTGGTGGTGGCGGTGCACGCGGTGGCGGCGGCGGCGCGTCGCGCCGGCCGGCGCCGCGCGTTCTCGGCTGCCTGCATCGCCTTCTGCTTCATCACCCTGCCGGCGCTGGACGATGTGCTGACGCGGGCGCGCCTGTACGCCGTGACGGCCCAGGTGGCCCTCTCCGGCGGCTGTCCCGGACAAGGTACGCCATTGGGAGCTGGAGCGGGACGAGGGTGTGTCCCGCCGAGCCGGAGCGGGACGGGGGTGCGTCCCGGGGAGCTGGAGTGGGACGGGGGTGCGTTCCGGGGAGCTGGAGCGGGACGGGGGTGCGTCTCGGGGAGCTGGAGCGGGACGGGGGTGCGTCCCGGGGAGCTGGAGTGGGACGGGGGTGCGTTCCGGGGAGCTGGAGCGGGACGGGGGTGCGTCTCGGGGAGCTGGAGCGGGACGGAGAGGGGTCGCGGAGAACTGAAGATCTGGGACCGGAGTACGTTATAGAACAGTGGGGAGGTACAGAGTACGTTATAGAACAGTGGGGAGGTACAGAGTACGTTATAGAACAGCGGGGAGGTACAGAGTACGTTATAGGAGAGCGGGGTGGGACAGGGTACGTTCTTGGAAAGTGGAGTGGGACGGAATGTGTCCAGTGAGATGGGCGAGTCGTGAGACGCTGCGAGTCAGATGTGTTGGTTAGGGAGGGTGAATTATAGCAGATCTCCGCCGAGTGCGAGGAGTTGCATCGCATGGGAGTTTTAGTTGAAATTCCTCAATGCTCTTCTTGCTCTCTCTTCAGTGCTTCCCAATGCACATAGGTAAAAAGAGATTACTGGGCCAATGAAATGCAACAAATGCCTCAGAACTCTCGCTAGCTAGAAATTTAAAGATATCATCGATATTTTTTCCATTTTGCACGAAATAGTGTCTTATAGATAACTTAGTATTTTATATAGTGTTTTGAATGATACCCAAGTGTTTTATAATGCGAGGTCCCACGTATGTTAGGCCAGCGCAAAAGCTGGCACATTTTTCATGCAATAACATAGTTGGATTAAGACGAACTAAAGCGGCTGAAATCCCGAACGAAATCGCGTTTGGTGGTCCGCTAAGTCAACTCGATCACCTCAGCCCCGTCCCCAGCCGATTTCGGCAAGTAGCACCGCTGGGGAGGGTGAAGGTGAGAGTGAGAGACATGTCCGGCGTCACGTCAGGTGGTGTCGGCTGTCCGGCGTGTTACCTCGACACCGGAGACTGGCCCGGGTGATGCGCCGAGTCGGGCGTGGTACGGGCGTCGCTCTGTCCGGCGTGTTACCTCGACACCGGAGACTGGCCCGGGTGATGCGCCGAGTCGGGGCGTGGTACGGGCGTCGCTCTGTCCGGCGTGTTACCTCGACACCGGAGACTGGCCCGGGTGATGCGCCGAGTCGGGGCGTGGTACGGGCGTCGCTCTGTCCGGCGTGTTACCTCGACACCGGAGACTGGCCCGGGGTGATGCGCCGAGTCGGGGCGTGGTACAGGCGCCACTGTGGCCGGCTCCCAGATGTGTAACCGGTGCGTGTTCGGCCTCCGATGCCGGTGCCCAGGCGCCGCTTTGATTCATAATGTATGTGGCAGCTGCGCACAGCCGCGCTCGGACTCCCGAGCAGCGGAGGTCTGTGGGCGGGTGGTCCCGTTAAAACGAGAGCGCACTGGACAACGTGGTCGCCTCGTGCGCTCGTCCGGCTTCGACGGGGCGACCGGCGTGCGCGTCGTCGCTCGGTTCTTGTCTGATTTGCGAGGCGGGCGCGGACTCAGCTGAACGCTGCCTGCTGGTGTAGGCGTATTGCTCTCTGCTGTACAGTACCGGCTTCAGGGAACGACACCAGGCCCTCGCTGATGACCTTTTCCTTCGTGGACGGTGATCTGCTGGCTCCTCCTCGGGTGGTCCCCCGCTTTCTCGACGCTGACCTTTGTCAGTCTTTCAATCAGTGATGCTATCGCTCACCCTTGATGTCCCGTTTCTCTCGCCCACCATTGATGGCCCGGCTCTCTCGCTCACCACTGATGGCCCGGCTCTCTCGCTCACCATTGATGGCCCGGCTCTCTCGCTCACCATCGATGTCCCGTTTCTCTCGCTCACCATTGATGTCCCGTTTCTCTCGCTCACCATTGATGTCCCGGTTCCGTAGCTGGTGAGTTTCCTGGCGCTCTCCCCGCCGGACTTCTCCTCGCTTCGTCGTCATTAATCCGACGGCTTCACCGCCACTGATCCCCCTGCTCTCTCTCCCTCTAACGATCCCATAGGTCCCTCGCCATTATTTCCTTGCTTTTGTTGGTGTTTTCCTTGCTCCGTCGCTGGGAATCTCCTTGCTCTCTTCGTCATTGGTATCCGTAATCCTCACCAGTGACTAATGAAATGTGTATAGAGTACGTCGCCGGTCAGATCAGTGCACGAGGGTACACTGATCTGACTTTTTTCGACCCCCCCCCCTCTCTCTCTCTCTTTCTCTCTCTCTCGCGCTCTCTCGCTCTATCTCTCTAGGTGTCTTCAGATAGGCTTTTCGCACCTTCACTAGCGGTCTCCACCTTAACCAGCAGTCTCCCACCCTCACCAGCGGTCCCCTTGCTTCTCAGCGGACGCCTGCATGCGCGCGGCCATCAGCGGTCTGCCGGAGATCGCGGCGGAGACGGGACCGGCCGAGCGGAGGCGCTCAGCGCTGGCGCCGACCCTGTCGCTGGTGCGGAGTCTGCTCTCCGCGCTGCTCGTATTTCCGGTAAGCGCCGCGGCGTGCGTCAGGCCGGCGTCCGCGGCGGCGGCGGCGCTCGCTGCTGGCGTCGGTCCGTGGCATCGCCAGTGTCAGTGGTGCGTGTCTGTTCCTGGTGCCTCTGTCGATGTGAATAAGCGGTGTCGACGTCGGCAGCCGCGGTCGATGGCTGCGGCCGATGTCTGCGTCACAGTGCGTGGTCCCAGGCATCGTCAGCGCTAATGATCAGTGATCAGTTCCAGCGTAACTGATCAATGCTCGGTGTCCGAGGATGGAGGGATGGATGAGCTTAGGAGGCTGCGGCCTGTCAGGGGTCCCTACAAGAGGCCTTAATAGGGCATATTCGTTGTCAAAGCCAATGGAAATCTTGTGCCGTGGTGTGCGGGGCCGTGTGCATGCAAGAATATTCTGGGAACGCCACTGGTGTCAGCCGGAGACGGCACTGACGCGCGCGGAGGATCGTTTCATCATGCTGCTGTCAGATGTCTCAGCCGAACGCGATGGAAGTTGCGTCATTGTATCGTCAGCTTCTTCGCGGCGACACCTCTCCAGGAACAGCGCAGCACTCATGGGAAACTCCTGAGAGAGAGAGAGGGAGCATCTCGGTTGGGACTGCTTATGGCGCTACAAGCAACCGTGGTACCGACGGGTGTCCTGCATGGGAGTACGTTGGTGATATTTCCTGGTTTCTGGCTCCTGGTCAGTGATATCTCCTAGTTTATGGAAGGTTCCTCCTACTGGTGGAAACTCTTGGTAACGGAAAAACCTCTGCGGTTGCGTGAGGCCCTTCGGCACCTTTCTATTTCCAATAATCCAACATCCCACCCCCAAGAGACGTGCAAAAAACGACAGATAGAACGGCTCTGAGCCCGGAAACAAGCCCGATAACAACCCGGAAACAAGCCCGATCACAGTCGGGGGGGGGGGGGGGGGGGCCGCCCAGCGTCGATGACTCGTCCGCCACCGTATGCGGGTCATCATGACTCGTCCGCCACCGTTTGCGGGTCATCATGCTTGTTGCCATCATAGCAGGTGGGAGGCAAAATGTGTAAATATCTGGCGGAACGATGCACCTTAAGGATTAGCACCATCGTCGGGAAAACGCGGTTTGATTGCGCGGCATCTCATCCCGGCCACGGTGGTATCGGCCCGTGACGGGTTTGTATCTTCGGTAACGGATGGACACTGGCGGTGGGTCTGGGCGTCACTGCACGTCGGGCGAAGAATTTGCCGTGCGCTGATGCCTAAAACACGTGCTGGTGCTTTCTTATGTTCTGCCAGCGCCATTCATTATACATTATGTAGCGTTATTCGATTCGTTATTCGTCATGTGACAGCGGCACGTTCACGTGCTTCCAACAGTTACGTGCCCTCCCCCCCCCCCCCCCAGCTGCGCATCGTGCTGAGCCCGAATGTTGCGGTATTGTTGGCCTGTATGCATGCAATGCTCGCAGCGAGCGTGTCCAGACTGGACCCGACAGCCAGGAGCCGCGTGCCGCCCTGCTGCGCTGCACGGTCCTCCCACAACGACCGCCAAACGGCGCAGCACGCTTCACCAAAACGCTTGTCACGCGGGCGGGCTGAGCGGCACCACGCGCGATCGTGATGTGATGGCACGGCTGTGAGCAGCACCACGCGATCGTGATGTGATGACACGGCTGTGAGCAGCACCACGCGTGATCGTGACGTGATGGTACGGCTGTGAGCAGCACCACGCGTGATCGTGACGTGATGGTACAGCTGTGAGCAGCACCACGCGTGATCGTGATGTGATGACACGGCTGTGAGCAGCACCACGCGTGATCGTGACGTGATGGTACGGCTGTGAGCAGCACCACGCGTGGTCGTGACGTGATGGTACAGCTGTGAGCAGCACCACGCGTGATCGTGATGTGATGACACGGCTGTGAGCAGCACCACGCGTGATCGTGACGTGATGGTACGGCTGTGAGCAGCACCACGCGTGATCGTGACGTGATGGTACGGCTGTGAGCAGCACCACGCGTGATCGTGATGTGATGACACGGCTGTGAGCAGCACCACGCGTGATCGTGACGTGATGGCACGGCTGTGAGCAGCACCACGCGATCGTGATGTGATGGCACGGCTGTGAGCAGCAACCACGCGATCGTGGTGTGATGGCACGGCTGTGAGCAGCACCACGCGATCGTGATGTGATGGCACGGCTGTGAGCAGCACCACGCGATCGTGATGTGATGGCACGGCTGTGAGCAGCACCACGCGATCGTGATGTGATGGCACGCTGTGAGCAGCACCACGCGATCGTGGTGTGATGGCACG